CTGCTGTCTCCACTCCTCCATTTGACCGCTTGCCGGGGCCCGTCCCAATTGCGCAATCCCCCAACTCCACTCACACTCACACACACACACACACACACACACACTCACACACACACACGCAAACACATGTGCACGTGATTGCGTACAGACCGTACAGACGTCTGTAAGTGCACCACTCTGGCCGCATGCGAGTGTGTGTGAAGCAGGCAAGAAGGTTGCGCAAATCAGGACAGATAGACGTACACACCGACAAACTGACAGAGCAGCGAATAAACACATGGACGCACGGACAGACAGACGGGCTGGGGCCCACTTGCCATTACCGCTTGACTGGCTTGACGTTTTGCCTTTCCACCTCAGACCAGTCGAGTCCACGCGTCATGGCGTCATGGATTCTTGGCTTCATGGCTTCATGGCGTCATGGCGCCGAGGAGGTAAGAGGGCAGCACTGCGCTCCTCCCCGGTCGGACGAGCAGCAGCCCATTTCGGCCGGACGTCCGACAGTGTGTGTGTGTGTGTGAAGAGAGAGAGAGAGAGGGTGGACGAATGAGTGGAGAGGCGGAGGTGCAGAGAGAGGAAGAGATGAAGAGATGAAGAGGCGGACATGCGACGTGGTGATGGAGGAGACGAGATAAAAACCGCAGCTGGGCTCACGGAAACGGCGAGTCAGTCGCCGAGGCCCCGTTGCGTAATTTGGGCAAAATGGACGTCTCTGGCAAATGGTCCGTGAGCGCCAAACGCGTGTTTCGGCCATTCACGGCAAGGCTTGACCAACCGGACAACCGAAGGGCCCACTGGCAACGGACACATGCACCGATGCACCCACGCACATGCAGACACATGAACAGGCAAAGAAGGGGTGGGGGTGGGCAGGAGTGAAGCGAAAGCTCGGCAATTGGGCCGAACAATCGAGAGGGTGGTCGACTTTTTACGGCCGGCATGTCAGAAGCCCGCTCCTTGCGAACCCGGTTGCAGTCGCAGTCGCAGTCGCAGTCGCGGTTGCAGGCGACGGCCACGCCCGGCTTCGCGTCGAAGTGAGTCGGTCCGGCCAGACCCGGCTCGAGCGCGTCT